CTCGTACTCGGCGGCCTGGGCCCGCAGGTCCCCCAGGGTGGCAACGTCGTCCAGCCGGATGTACATTTTGTAGTCAGGGCTCATATTATCATAGAGCCGCTCCAACTGGTCTGCGGCCGTGAAACCGCCGGCTCGCCGCATGCTGGTCAGCACCGCCGTGGCGTATTTGCTGAACGGCTCGTCCGGTTTCTGGAACCGGCTCAAGATTTCTCGGGTCAATTGGGCCCGGTATCGCCTGGGTACGTACTCGAGCCGGAATGCCTGTTCGAAATCTTCCCAGGACTGCCAGCTCTCCCGTCCGTTGCGATACCATAGCAAGGTATCGCCCCGCAACAATTCCGGGAGGCCCAGCATCAATTGCTCGTTGGAGTACCCGTACGCCAGCTGCAGTTCTTCCACTCGTTCCAGAAACGCGAGGGGGTCCTTGCCCTCAAAGTGACAGCCCCACTTCCGTATCTGGTTCATGGCGTCGGCGGTTTTGGCCGGTGTCGGTACCGGTTCTTTCGCTTCGGGCGGATCGTCCATCGTGTCCTCCCACTCGTCGGAAGCGTCGTTTGGAATATCGTCGGGGACGTCGCCCGGAGGTTCGTAGCGGTGTTCAGGATTCGCGGTTACAAACTTCGACAGCCTCTGTCGCAAATGGTCGATAGTGCCGGTATCGTCGAGTCCTACTCTTTTAGCCTCGGCTGCTAACTCAGCCTTTGACAACTGATATATCCAGCTCTTCATGAGTGGATGCGTAGACGAGTTAGTGCCTCACGGTGCAGGTCCCTGTTCGGGCGCCATTGTGGCGGTTTGCTTTTCTTTTTTTTTTCTTTTTTTTTTAAGGCTCACAATTAGAATATATTTAGAAATTTAATTACAATTTATTAAAATAAGATAAGATTGATATAGTGAATAATAAAGTCAATGTTCGGCTTGATAGCTCTTTAAGTTTAAAAATAGATTTCGTGCGACGCCTATTCCGAAGATGGAATGTCTTGCAATTTTGAATCGTCGCCGTGAGCCTTGAAAAAAACAAGAATATCTTCTGTGTAGTCGATCCATGGATGTTCGTCCATTTCGATTAGAAAAAATTCAATATCCGTTTTTCTCTGCCACGTTGTCACGGAGTATAAATATTTGCCAATCTTATTAAGAATTACGATTCTTCATCGTCTCCCGGCAAATTGTTGCCAACAGGGTTTTGGGAAGCAGCTCTTGGTTCTGAATTTTGAACCGTCTCAACTTCGACCGGGACCGTTGAAAGTTCTGCATTTTGTCGATTAACGTTTGGCCTCAAAACCTGTGCATTCTGGTTGAATGATTCACGGAGTATACTTGATTCTAGATTTGTACAGTGCATAAAAATTTGGTTAACTTTGTTCTTTACATCTAGTATCTCGTTGTGCTTGTCTAATAACAATCTTACATGTCCTGTATACAGTGGTTGTTTTAATATTTTTTCTATTTTATCTATAATTTTCTTGATATTATTACATTCATGCTGTGAGCTCTCTTGAAGCGTTGTACTCGTATGTGTTTTTAATCGAGCTATTAGATACTTTTTCCCATTGGAATTTTCAAATATCTGAATGTCTCTTTTTCAAAAATCTATTATTTCTAAGTCACTATAATTTTTTAA